CAAAAAGTTAAAAAGTGTTTATGGTTTGACCAACTTATAAGCTTAACCAAAGAGGCTCTAAATGTACTGGGTGTACGACGATATTATGAGATTAGGATTATGGACCAAAGAGTTGGCTATTTTAGGTACGAGGTTTAGTATTTGCATGTAAAGAGATCTGGTGTCAGGTGTAGGAGATCCAAAATCATTTGATGGACAGGGTTGAAATATAATGTACCTTTTTAAAAACATATTTTTAACCATTTTCACTTAATCCGACATAAAATTTGTTTTCCTGCTGTTTTAGGAGGACACGAGCTCAGCAAAACCACTGGAAATGCTGGTGGAAGGGTTGCTTGTGGTAAGTAAATTATTGTCTTGTGTCGTTTACATTCTGGGACTAGATATGTTGTTTATGTGGCTCATCTTTTTCTGCTTTTAGTCATTTAAACAATGCGTTGTAGTTACATTGATCAACTGCTGATGGGCAGACTATTAGTCATTTGTTTAATCTCTGGTTCTCTCTTTCAAACTATTCTTCTAGGCTAGTTATTTCAAGTAAATCGAAACATTCAAGATCCTTTTGCTTTCATATCTGAGTTTTCGATTAGCCAATGTGTTTTCAAATGACAACTTTGAATCATCTGCTTTTTTAGAATGATATGGGCAAGTCTGGTTTTGTCCTTAATTATGCTTGTAGTAACATATGGGGTATTGTCACTCTTGCCAGGTATTATAGGCCTCCAAGGTTAATTACTCCTGTGGGGGGTGAAGATTCAGCAACTAGCGGAGGTTGGTGTCTGTTGGAATAAAGTGCGGCTGAGCTTTGTTTTCTATGTTTTACTCATATGAGATGCCTTTTTGTATTGGGGTTGAACCAATCATGCATGATAATAGCGCTGCTTTTTCAGTGTAGTACTAGGTTTTGCCGACAATCATTAACCGTAATAAGACGTAGGCAGTTAGAATTGCTTGTTTCTTAAATGTGAGTTGTCATTTCAATTGGATGGTTTCAAAACGGCTAGACTAGACAGCCTGCGATATTTTTTCATGTTGTTTTACTTTTAAATGGTTTCAAACTCGGCTGGTTGGCGTGAAATGAGTTTAAGATGGCCAAAATCGTAATTTGTGTTTGAAGTGGTTACCACCATTTAATGATATCTCAGCTGGTTAATAACCACAACAAAAATCGTTGTCATCGCTTGCTAGAATTTATTGAATTGCGTGAGAAGA